CCAACAATGGCCAAGGCCCGCATTTTGACCTATTCGCAGTTAGTTGCCGTTGCCGTTGCCATTGCCTTTGGCTAAGCCTCTACCTCTGGCTCTCTTTCTTTTTGCTGTTGGCCAAAAGCTAGCAATGTCTGCCGCCGGTGAATAAGGCCACCTGTGTCTACACCTGTGGTGGGTGAACTGAGGTGACAACGGGCCAAAAGACCGGTACGAGTGTGTCTGTCAAACTTCATTTGAATACTACATATGACGATGTATTATTGACATTGTGTACATGTTTTAATTTGGCATTTGCCGCTAGACCCCCGGCCACCACCTGCTACGAAATTCAAGGAGGAATGGCGAATAAAAAATAAATAAATAAAACACAGCACAGAAATAAATAAATAAAAATAAAAGCGGTTTGTGTTTGACGTCACAGTGACGTAATTTGGAATCGACAGCATATACACAATGCATAAACATTCATTTAATCATTCTATTTCAAAGTGTCTAAGCAAGTCCAAGCGCCGCCTTGTCAGAAACTGGTTCCCCCTCGAAGCTATCTCTCAATAACTACCACGTGAGTGCCGTGTATTTGTTGGACTTTCCATTTGATTTAGGTTTTATGTATTGCAACAATGAAACCCACAAAAAGTTAATATTTCTTTTCATTTACTTGAAAGACAAAGTCCAAAAAGAGCCACAACAATTAGAAGCTGCAATCTCTCAGCATTCATATTACATTTATTGACTGCACATTTTGAGCTGCACAAATATTTTCTCGCAACAAACATTGGCATGTGAAAATATTTTGCCCCATCATCAATCCCTCCTTCGGACTCTACAACTTTTCTTTGATGCAAATTCAAAATAAACTATGAAAATACCAACAATAAAAACATTTAGCAATTGAAAGTTTCAATCGTTTGGATTCACAAGTTATTAAGCTTTTTGTTTGTGCATTGAAATATTCAATTTATTGATAGCATTTTTCATATTCCCATAGAATACATGTATATATTATATTCAGTTGTTTGTTCCACTTTCAAGAAAAACACATTTTGTCATTTATAAATATTACAAATTATTTTTGCATTTGCCAGTGGTACTTTTATTAAATATTCTCAGAATATATTTTGTTTATTACTTGCTCGGTTTCAGATTCCAATTTTTTCGTGTATTTCCATTGCAATTTCCACGTCTCTATGAGCTTTGTAGCTTAATTTAGTTTTATTTCTGGCCATTAGCATTAATTGCCAGCGACGGCCGGCGCTTTTAATTGATTTTTTAACACAAAGTGCATGCGATTTTAATGTAAATAAACTTGAGGCATTTTATTTTCACGATTCGGACGTTGGCTCATGTTATTTCTGCTGCGGTAGTTTATTTATTATTATTATTATTTTTGCGCATTATTACTATTATTATTATTTGGCACAAGGCTGGCGATTGCGTAAAAAGCTTGTCGTTATTACTCTACTGATGTTGATGTTGATGTTGTGGTCTCATGAATGGTTTTTCAGTTTGCCGGTCAAGTCATTTGGATCTCGCCCCACGGCTTTCGCTGTGTAATGCATAAACAAATAAATAGACAGACAGACAGCTCCCAAAGGCGAAAAATATATCGTAATTACACAGTCGCTATTAAAACGTATAAAAACCCACACGTACGGTGTACGGTGTAAATTTCTGTATTCCTAATCGAACGGCAAACAATCCGTATCGATTCCCTTTCTGTGCTTTGTCTTTTTACTTTTTTGAAATTTTACATACTCTTGCTAACGAATTTATCAATCAAAGCACACACTCACACACACGGGAGATGGATTTTTTGTTTTCGGCTTTGGCCATCATAAATGCATTGGCAGCACGTAAACCAATTGTCCATCAGAGTGGAATTGAATCGGTTTGCAAGCAGCACAATTTTACATTTCCATTTCCTACTAATGACCAAAGTCTCCTCTTGTCCTCATCAACAATCTGCTCCAAAAATCGATACTTCAAGGCTTCCAGTGTTTGCCATTCGAATAATGCTGGAAAGAATCACTGAATACAAGGTATTTTTGGTATAATTAAACTCAATGCTCGACTCCCTCTCTCTGGCATGGCCTTTGATCTCATTTCATGTCGCATTGCGTTACAGAAGCAAACGAAGCGTTGAGACAATAAAATGCATTTAATTATAAATTAAATATTATGGTGCATCATCAGCATCGGAGAGCTTCAAGGAGAGACTCTTGAAATCTGACCGACGGTCAGTCCCAAGGACCTGGACGAAGCGGATTGTTAAGTAAATGTCAGTGGCAGGCGGTCCAGGTCACCGGACGGACGACGAACCTGGCCGAGGACGACAGCTAAGCCCACAGACGACAGGCACTGGCATTTTAGCCAGGCTGCAGATGATCAGAGATGGGAAATTGAATTAAAAAAAGCCAAAGACAAGATAAGATAGCTAAATTAACGAATTAAGTTGAGTTTAAAAAGAAATACTGATTGAACTTATAAAATTGTTAACTTCTTTAAGGTTCTGTTTTAAAAACCCCCCGAAAGAAACTAAAATCTAATCAAAGGATCACATTTACAGTTTATTTCTATTATAAAATGTATGAATAAAGGAATGAAGATGGAATATTTCGAAGCTCTCTTTATAGCCAAGTTGGCAGTACCAACACTTGCCCAGCGATGACGAGGCCAGGCCCAGTTAAGCTGGCCAGGACAGAGGAACTGACTGAGCCCAGTTGAGCTGAGTTGACATGCATATTCACAAATTTGAAAATGCTTTATTTACCCGAGTCGTCGGCGGACGAATAAAAATGGAACTCGAATAACTGAGTCAATATTTGCTCAAAGTTTTCCCCATTCTTCTGTTGGCCAGAAAGACTCATTTGGTTATTGTGTTGCCCTTTGTGTCTGTTTTTTTTTATTCTTTGGCTTTTTTGCTAACCAAAAATAACTGCAAATTGACCAAGGTAGGCAAGGGAACAATGATGACGTGTTTCGGTCATCAAAAACGAATTTTATGGGCTTCATAAAATCATAAATCAGTTTAGTAATTGATATATAAAAGACTACTGTTTCTAGGAACAATTTCATAATTTTAAAGTTTTCCACTTGTTCAACATCTCCTCATTTCTCTATACAAATTCCCTTGGGCACATTCCCCAGGACACCTCATATATCTCACGTAAGTATCAAAATTTCACACACACACTTTTAATTATTTGATTGAAATTGATTTTTTGAGGAGTAACTGCAGGGCATTTCACAAGTCGACAATTCCCGCGGGCCCAAAAGATATTACATTCCTCACGATTTGCGGCATGTCTGGGTGTACCTGTGCGCCGTGTTGATTCGGCTTAATGCAAATGCTCAATCATTTCGCGCCGTCGGGCATTCTGCTCCTAATTTGATGTACGACAAATGTGCCAAAAGTTGTCAGACGCATGAGAAACAAACGAAAGAAGAAAAAAAACGAAGAAAATGTACATGAAATTCCAACAAAAAACGAGGACGCAAAGGAAAAACTCTCAGGTAGCCAGACAATGGCAGTTGAGGAGTATCCGACTTTGTGTCAGAATTTATGAGCTCATAAACATTTCAGGCCAAAATTTGTTACGACGTCACCAAGGACTTGGACGAATGTTTTTTGAGACGTAACTGTGGAATATGGTAAATGTTCAATGGCTCCAATGTCAGTGGTGGAAACAGAGTTTCGGTAAAGTTTCTTTGCCGCTTAAAGTGCGGCCATAAACTTACCAAGTGCAAGGGTAAAAAATAACACAGGACACGCCAAAAATAACAAACTAGATTTTGAAGTGCAACAGAAAGTTGTGCAGAAAATATGTTACTAACAAGATTGTTTTTTTTTTTCATGTTGCTAATCGCCTTTGCCAGCCCTGCCAAGTGGTGCCAACTGCCACGCCCACGCCCTTTTTATAGGCGTTTCTGGCAAATTACCTAGGGAAAAGTTAGATATACTATATATACAAGTAAGGACAAAAATCAACAAAAGCTGTTGTGTGTGTCAGCGCTGTAACAAAAGGCACAAAACTTTCGCAAATGTGACAAGGATCAGGCAACAACTGCAGGGAGAGAACAAATGTCTGTAAAAATGTTTAACAATAAATAAAAAGTTTAAATTTTTTGCAGCACACACTTGAAAGCGTCCAAAGCCCGCATATAAAATACAAGTGTAAAGGAAACAAGAACATGAGAACATGTTTTGGGATTATTTACATATTTTATTACCTGTAAATTTAGTGCTAAGATTCCTTCTCATAACCTCAGGTTTTTCCCTAATCCGCAGATTTATTCAACAATTTAATGGGTTGATAACTTTATAATTTACCCAATGATCCGTAAATGTTTATATAGGCTCCCTCTGACTAAAAATATCAAATAATCACCCATGGAATTGTACCCAAAGCTATTATTAAATTCAATTACGTAGTAAAACATGATTACGTGGTATATATTTGCTTATCAAATACATAAAACTACTTGAAAAATATGCGATTAAATAACTGATATACACTTTTAACAAAAAGCACTCCCAAGTAACCCAATGACTAATACAGAAAAAGTTAAAAGCACTAAAAATGTTTGTATATTGATTCTCTGCTCTTTCGATTTAAACCGAATGAATGAAAAATGATTTCAGCTCTCTGGGACTGAGAAATGCAATAAAAAAATATAAATGAATAATGCGATTTTGTACCACAAAATAAGAAAGAAAAAACAGTAGTAAAAAACGAACTCCAGCGAGGGCAAAAAACAATTAACGATAACACAGTTCGCTGAAGCGATGTCAGTTAGGAATTTCTTTGAGGAAAATTGCACCCAGCATTCCGTTGAATGAATGACAATTCATTTGAATGAGCTCGTGTGCTCGTCAATCAAACACTTTATATTGAGCCACACAAATAGTCTATCTATGACATAATTTATAGAGAAACGTGAAAAGATTGTGCTATCAATTGAAAAGATAAAATGCTTTCAATTTCCGAGAACGATCAACTCACCTTAGGGCTTCTCCAAATGAAAATGACCAATTCGCTGTCAGTAAGATATCTGAAAATGGATAAAAATAATTACTTGGAATTAAAAACTTTATAGTATTTATCAATCAAAAGTTTAGGACTAGAGTTTTCCAGGTAAAATTGAATTTTTAATTGAATTCTGTTGGCTTTTTATTGGATTTATCTCGACACACAATTGTTGGACTTTAATATCCTTTATGGGGGACTACTCCTCTTTCATAACCAACAAACAGCGAAGCGAAGACCACCCAGGATTAGGCTTAAACAGAAATTCCTGGTAACTGAGCGGCTCCCAGGCCCTTTTTGATATTTTTTGTTCTCTTATTTTTTTTTTTGCTCCTTTTATCCCTTTCCACTGCACATTATTGTTAATGAATTCTACACGTAGTATGTGTATGGTCCGGGGCCTCCTCATTGGTCGCGCTTTGTCCCGGACCAAGTCGGATTCGGTCTGGAGGAGAGCCTGTTTCTGCCGGCAAGTTTTTTGCATAAAAATGTTGCTATACCCTTTTTCTGCAGGGGAGTCATTATCAATTTGTAACGATCTCGACCGGTCATGATCTTTGTCTGGCAAAAAACTCACTTTGTATTTATTATTAAAAGCCAAACATTTACGAAAATTACACAGAAACTGGTTTTTTGGTTAAGTTCAAGGTTATAACCCATATTGTTAATTTAAATATAGCAAATTAGCTTGTTTATATTTAGATGGGAAACTGGATAAAAACAAGTTGAAAGCTGCTTCCTATTTGGCTTAAATCCTGGCTTAATTAATGTGTTTGATTTGTATTTAAATTTTGTAAGTATTTTATTTAAATATAAATTGCTTTAACCTGAAAAAGAGTGCGCCTTTCTTCGACTTTAAAAGCACTCCTGCTGCTGCCCCACCCTTTTGGCTTCCTTTGGCTCTGTTGCCAAGTCGCCAAACTTGGCCGACGACACAGTGTCAAGGTGTTGGCCACGTTGCGTTGCCTGCTGTCGCATTTACAGCTGCTGCTTCTTTAGCCTGGGCTATGGTTTTACCTTTACCTGAATGTGGTTCCCTTTGCGAGGGTCAATGCACAAGTGATTGGTTTTTAAGTGCATGAGACGCCGGCAACGCTTTACCTTTTATTTTTCTCTTTATTTTTTACTCCCTGCCTTTCATTTGTTGTTGTTAAGTTTCAATGACACTTTGCATAATTTTTTTGGAATTCTCCGCCGGGCAGTGGGTGGTTTTGTGTGTGCCTTGGACGGGCATTGTTGATGGATCATGATATCCTATTTGTCTGTTGACAGAGGCCCCCAAGCAACAAAAAAAAAGTAGAAAGAAAAATCCAATTTCTGGACCTCCCTCAAAGCTGGTCAAAAACAGTACCGGATAGAATCGGAAAAGGCACAGGCACAGAGCTACCCATAAAATGGCAAAGTTTAAAGGTTGATGCGACAAAGTGGTAATAACACTCAGTCAAAGCAAGGTGAGCAGAGGGTCAGGTCCCTAGCAGACAAGGGTTTGTCTTTAATCAAAACTGAAAAATAAAGAGACAACAAAAGCGTCGAAGCGGCATAAGCCGAACAATTTTTGGTAACAGGAAGAGACACCAGAAAAATGTAAAAGAAAAACTTTTGTGTTTGGTCTATGTGTACTTTACGAGTTCTTTTTTTATTCTTATTATTTGGGAGTGGTAATTTCGGGGGCGGTTGGTAAATGTAAAACGTTTTTCGGCAGACTAAAGCAAATAATAACATTGCCCCAAGAAAAGCAAAGCCATGGGAGCCAACTCCCATACGCCCATAAGAGAAATAGCGCCTCTTGGAACGAAAGTTTATCAAGGTCATTACGGCAGGTTGGCTTCTGTTTGCTCCATCGCCATGGCCGCCCCCCCCAACCGCCCACCTGTCAGGCCTGTCTTGTTGATTAGCACCAGGAATTTCTTATCAAAACGAAGGCAGACCGGGGCAGGTGTGTCAGGTGTTCAGTTGGAATGCGATTGGCCCCCCTAAGAGGATTGTGCTAGGTAAGCTCTACCCATCAGTAAAGGACGGGAGAAGCCATTAGGAATCAACTCTCTAGGCAGCTAGGAAATACCGAATTGCTATATCATCGAATTTGGCAGGAGGGATGGGATTTGGTTGTGGATTGAAAACTCGTCAATACCTAAACCAAGCGGGGTTTTATTTCATTTGTAGCCAGAGGATGGGATAGTCCTTTCTGCCACTATTTCCTCTGCATATCGGCATACTCCTTTCAACTAATTGATATACAAGCAAAGGAACAATAATTAAATTGCCTTTCACTTGAAGAGATTCCATTAAATTTGCATGCCCTTCGGGGTTTCCCTTTGGCAACTAATAAGGACTCCTATACCACACGCACTCCTCCATCCCTCGTTTTTTGCCTTTACCAACATATTCCACAAACTTTTCTCACATTTCACTTCAACTTTTCCCACACGCACAGGGAACTGGGAACTGGGACCTGGGACTGGGGAGACTGGGAAAGAAAGGAACTGAAACTGCAAGTTCTAATTGAATTTAGTTTTATTATAGGCAACATGCAGGAGAAAACAAGAGGCCATTTTCAGTTTTCATTCACTACACAAAAAAAGGGTCAGGGAAATTCAAAATCTTTCTCCCTCAAGGGTTGCATTGGATTAATTAGATTGAACAGGAAATATAATAGAGAGGAGGGGGAGGTTCTTTTTGGTTCTTTTCAACAGTCAAAGCCGCAACAAAAACAGTCACGAAAAAGTTGGTAAGCCGATTGGCCAAAACCGGCAGTAAGTGAACAAAAGCGGCATCGGGCATGAACAAAAATTGATTTAAGCTGATTTCCAGCCATTCCTTCTTCTGCTTTTTTGTTTTTGTGGATCCAACAATATTGACCACACCATGGGCCACGCCCACTCAGGGGCGTCGGGGCAATTAATATCAATTCCCGTTGGGCCATTAACACGAGCCAAAAACATATTGGCTAACAAGTGTCAAAGTCGCGCCAAATTAGAGCACAAGGCGACGATGATGGCACGAGGGCGTGGCCCGGACAACGGCGGACTACGGGCTGCGATTGGAATTAAGGATTGGGCATTGGATCGGTTTGGTAAACGAGGGGTTGGGTTGGGTCACGCTCCCTCTCGCCGGTTCGGGCGATATCCTGCCAAGAATGAGCAGCATGTGGCCAACACTCCCGGTAAAGTAAATGGGGTTCGTTGTTTGGGTCCTGCCCTCATTGATAATAATATTCGATTGGGTTTTATTTGCTCTGGTGGGGCTGGGTCACCGTCCGACCCCTCCACATTGATGGTTTATTATTGTCTTGGCAGACGACGACGACGGCGATGACACAGGATACACATGTTTCTGCCAATTGCCTACGTCACCCCGAAGGAATCGGATTGGGCAAGGAAAACGGCCAAAGGGAGAGCGAGAGGAAATGGGTTGAGTCGATAAACTGTGACGCAAGCCCTTCGAGTGGCAATAGTTTTGACAGTTGAAAAGGGCGCCACATGGGGTCACATCAGAGATACCGCGCTGCCACATTGTGAACTTTAACCATCTGCAATTGTCGTCTGTTATTTTGTGTATTTTCTGTACATTTTTCCTACTATTCCCACTGTCTGATGGTTTTGGCGGATGAAAAGCGGAAATGTTTATCAGCAAAGGCCAAGCGCGTCTTAATTATGCACTCCATTTTCGATTCTCGAATCAGAGACACTCGGCTCTGACAATGACGTCCAAACAACAGCCGAACCAATGCACAGGAGATAAGAAACATATCAAGATCAGCTATGAATATATAACGTATATATATATAGCGAGGGTCGCCCTTGAAAAGCGGGAAAAACTTCTGTTCGTTTCGTTTTCGGAAAAACTATTTTTAATGGCTCGCATTTGTCAGCTGCAAATGAAAAACGGCAATTTATGGCCCTGCTGGAATGATTCTGATTTATGGTGATTTCAAAATGGTTTCACTAATTGGTTTGAGTTCTTATTTTGATGTTACGGAAATAAATGGTTTGAGAAATGCTGGGAGCTACGATAGATTGCGATTTATTTTTAAACTGCGGTCTCTCTGTGGATTAAAAATATCTCTTTTTGAGTGAGAAAAATATTTTAGTGATTAGATTAATGGATTTAATTGAATTGTAGCGTGGAATTTTAGTTTTATGGGTTGTGAAATTGATTTAGGAATTGTAATCTAAATTTGCAGGGGAGTAAAATCGTACACCAAATTCAATAAGGTTGTTAACTGTTGAATATAATTCATTCATATTAACTAATTTAAGATCTTTACTTGCAGAATAATTTATAAGAATAATATGGACCTGCTCTTTAGCTATAATTTGAGTTTTTAACCTCTTTTTTAATAATTTTTATAAAATACATATGAAAGTTCAATAAAAATAGCTTAACTCAATAATATTTGTATTTTTTTAATGGCAAATATATTTAGATTAGTTGATAAAACAGGTTTCTCAAATGTTAATTATGTTAAAATCGTGTTAGAAGTATTCCAAATTGTTACTCTCTCAGCTTTAGCAAAGTACTTCTCAATTTAGAAAATAATTTCTTCACAAAATCATATAATTTACGATTTATTTAATTCTGGAGTTTTTATATTTTCTGACTTTTTAAAGGCTCAATTACTCAATCGACCCCCTTACAAGGGTCAAAAGTATTTCCGATGGCTACAAAAAGAACAAAGAGGAAAGTGACAACCGGAAGAAGGCATAGCATAATGAGTTATAAATATGCATACGGGCATTTGTTTGTTTATTTAGCGTGTCCGTCCCGTGGCTTTGTGAGTGTGCGATTGCATATTTGCAGAATAAGTGCGGTGGAGGAGTAACGAGAAGAAGCAGAGACAGCTGATAAGCGATAAATGCCAACGCAATTCCCCTTTTGCTTTCACTTTTCAAACGGCAAAAGAGCAATAAAGGGGAGGGGAAAGGGGACGGAACCGTGGTCTCTGCATCGTTGAAGTTAATGCAATTAATTAGCAATGCACACACAGGCAACGACAGGCGACAAGAGGCAACGTGTGTAAATGGCTAGAAACGGCCATAAAACACTTATCGGAGCGAGAGGGACGGCTAATGAGGTGTGACAATTAAAAGAGGAGACAGAGGAGGCGCCTGTTGTTGTTGCTTTGTTTTCAACATTAAGTCTGCATGACTTACCTGTTTGTTTGAATTTCCAATTCGGTTCTGCGCTATTTCCAGCCCGGTTAATGCGGCTTCCTAATAATTCCTGTTATTTGGAACTTTTCGCAACAATCTGCGGCAGGCGGCTGGCGGGTCTGATAAGAAAGTGGTCCGTCCCGTTGATAAGAGTGCGCTCTTGCTCTCGCTCTCTCTCTCTCTTTCTCACTTTTGGGCAGCATAAACAAATTGAAGCGACTGAGGCGAGCGAAGAAGAAGCAGCAGCGGGCAGAGCAGCGACACGCCTAGAAGGCAATTTTTCCGGCTTTTCCGTGGGATTCAGCGTTTTTCTTTTTGGCTTGTGCTTTTTGGCTTTGCTTTGGCCGAGAATACTTTTTTCTTTTTGTTTTTCTTTTCAATTTGACCGCATTTGTCGATTTCGGTTTTCTTTTTTTGTTGTTGTTGTTGCGGCGGCGGCAGTAGCGCTCACCACCACGATTGCACACACTGAGACACACACACACACAAGCCGATGGGCACACACACAGAGACGGGCGGGCGGGCACTCACATGCACACGCTCACACAACGACACACACGCGGCGGGCCGAAAACGATGGCCAAGAAATTGAAGCGTTTTTTTATACGCCCAGGAGCGGTCGATTAAAGCCAGGTTAGCTGCTATTAGTTGCGGCGGTACACGGCGATGTTCGCAGTGGTTATTTTGCATAAACGAATGGCAATGAATCCGCGAATTGCAGTGCTTTCGAAAAAATTTACGAGTCTTCTGAGTAGAGATGGGATATTGTCGAGAAATCGCCGATGTATCGCTGAATGTCCATCGATGTTCAAATATCGATGTATCGATAGTTTTCTCCCGATGGTATTATTTTATACCCTTGCAGTCTATTATAATTTTAGCCAGAGCAGTCGTTTCCGACCATATGAAATATATATATTCTTGATCCGATCCAGCCATGACAGTCTGTCCGTCAGTCTGATTCTATGTAAACCAGTCTCTCAGTATTTAAGCCATCTCAATGAAACTTGGCGGGTTTTTGTATACTTTTTTTTATATAACTCCACTGGTATATATGTCGGAACAGGTCGGATCGGATGAATATATCATATAGCTGCCATAGAAACTATCAGTTCAACTTTTGTTTGAAAAAAAATTATAACATTCATATTTTTCAAAAAATTTTCAACTATTTGTATATAGAAGCATTTTGTATTTTTTTTCAGAATTTTTGTTTGAATTTTTTGAAAATAGGGATAATATATGTATACATATATCTGCAATAGAAACTATTGTTAAATGTAGAAGAAAACACAAAATTTGGAATCTAAAACTGTAAATAAATAATATATAAACAAAATTTTATTGTTTATTAATAATCGAATCGCAACCATAATTGGTATACAAACTTTAGCGTTCGGAAGTTATCTATTTTTATTGTTAAAAATGAAGCCAACATGAAGTTTAAGTATATTTATAAATAATTAATATATTACAATTATATGTATTTTGTCGGATTTATTATGACGATTTCTTTAAAAGCGGTATTTCTGTTTGAGCTTCCACCTCTAGCTGGCGATAAAATAAATTTTGAATATTTATTTTTTACCACGATTATATATTATTCCACAATAATTAACGATTTTAAAAACGTAAATAAACGTATTTTTGTATGTTTAATATATATCTAGCTATCTAGCTATCTAGCTATTAAATAGTAACAAAGTGTGGCAACACCAACAAATCAGCTGCTTATCCGCACACATGTTGCACACTGCCTTGAATTTGATAATCACCTGTAATTTTTAAGGAAATATTTAATTGAATATAAAATAAATTAACAATAGAAACAAGGAGAAACATATAAAAATTATTAATCACACTAGGTAAGTTAAAATGCTCATAAGAAAAAACATTTCAAGATCTTCAAGTTTACAGGGCACTCAAATGTCTTATTAGTCGGAACTAACCGGCAGATTTTAGGTAATGACAATGATTTTCACAAGGAAATCACTGAAACTCCTCAATTACCGCCTAAGATGCCTGAATCCATCAGTTTCCAGCCACAAAAGAAGTGTCCAAAGCACTGCCAATGGAGAAGCTCCCTCCGTCGAGGTAAACTTCAGTAATGGGTGAGTAGATGGCCTTCCCACTCAACTTATAATCCAAACCCCGAATTCCCTTACAGACGTAACCTGACATTCAGCTCTGGCCGCTTGGCGAGATTCGCCAATGGAAGTGCCGTGTGCCAGATGGGTGACACCGCCGTAATGGTCACAGCGGTGGCCAAGCCAAAGCCTTCGCCGGGTCAGGGATTTCTGCCGCTGGTGGTGGATTATCGTCTGAAGAACGCCGCCTCCGGTCGCATTCCCATGAACTTTATGCGCCGGGAAATGGGTCCCTCCGAGAAGGAGATTCTCTCTGCCCGGCTGATCGATCGCTCACTGCGTCCGCTCTTCTCCAAGGATTACCGCACGGAGACACAGCTAGTTTGCAACATGCTGGCAATGGACGCTGTGCACAACCCCGATATCCTGGCCATCAATGCCGCGTCCATGGCGCTGTCACTGAGTGACATTCCCTGGAATGGACCTATCGGAGCTGTGCGGTGAGTGGGGAAACCTTAAATAGGAGTACTTTCATTGATAAGAATTCCCCTGCTCTTTCAGAGTTGGCTTCTGTGATGGCGAAGTGCTGATCAATCCCACCCGAAGAGAGTTGCAGTCCTCCCAATTGGATCTGGTCGTCTCGGCCACCAAACAGAACCTGGTGGTGATGCTGGAAGGCAAGGGCAATGTAGTACTGCAGCAGGACCTCCTCAAGGCCATAAGGCAGGGCACTCGAGAGGCCCAGTCCATTATCCATGAGATCGAACGCCTCCAGAAGGCCTACGGCAGACAGAAGAGAGAACTGGAAGCGCCGCCTTCGGTGGACCCGGAACTGGAGCAGGCTGTTCGGAGCATGTGCGAGATGCGACTGAGAGAGATCTTCCAGGATGCTCAGCACGACAAGATCTCGCGGGACAACGCGGTCAACGAGGTGCGCTCCAATGTGATCGACAAAGTGTGGAGCTCCTTTCCGGACACAGAGCCCTCCCAGATCGGTGAGCAGTTCAATCAGACCAGCAGAGCCATCTTCCGGGAACTAATCTTTGAGCGAGGACTGCGATGCGACGGCAGGGACTTCGACCAGCTAAGAAACATTTCCTGCCAGGTGGACATGTACAAACCGCTCCATGGATCCGCTCTGTTTCAGCGCGGTCAGACGCAGGTCTTCTGCACGGTGAGCTTGGACTCGCCGGAGAGCGCCATGAAACTGGACTCCCTAGCTGCTCTAGAAAGTGGCGGTCTGAAGGCCAAAAACTTTATGTTGCACTACGAATTTCCACCTTATGCCACGGGAGAAGTGGGCCGGATTGGTCCTCTGGGTCGCCGAGAACTGGGCCACGGAGCTCTGGCGGAGAGAGGACTGCTGCCCACTCTGCCGCACGATTATCCCTTCACTGTGAGACTCACCTCTGAGGTGTTGGAGTCAAATGGAAGTAGTAGCATGGCCAGCGTTTGTGGTGGTTCATTGGCTCTCATGGACGCTGGAGTGCCGGTCAGTGCCCCTGCAGCGGGCGTGGCCATCGGCCTGGTCACCAAATTCGAGAACGAAGACACCAAGCACCTGCAGGACTACCGCATTCTCACCGACATACTTGGTATCGAGGATTATATGGGCGATATGGACATGAAGGTGGCGGGCACGAGAAAGGGCTTCACTGCCATCCAAGCGGACCTCAAGATCCCGGGCATTCCGCTCAAGGTGGTCATGGAGTCGCTGCAAAAGGCCACCGATGCCAAGTCCAAGATCCTAGACATCATGGCGGAGGCCATCCGGGAGCCGAGGTGAGTTTATTTTAATGGAAAATAATTATTTGAGAATTAAAAACATATTTCCTTTACCAGGAAGTATCGCAAGGAGAGCTGGCCTGTAAGCGAGACCATCACCGTGGAGCCGCACCAGAGGTCTCAACTGATTGGCCCTAGTGGACTCCACATGAAGCGCATCTACCTGGAGACCGGAGCTACTTTGACTGCCTCGGATGAGAGTAATTTCTCGGTGTTTGCACCCTCGCAAGCGGCCATGGACGAGGCCAAAGAGATGATAGAGGGCTACATGGTGAAGGAGCGAGTGCCGGACCTGGAGTTCGGCGGCATCTACACTGCCAAGATCACAGAGTTGCGCGACACGGGCGTCATGGTCGTGCTGTACCCGAGCATGCCACCAGCACTGCTGCACAACTCGCAGCTAGATCAACGTAAGATCGCACATCCCTCGGCGCTGAACCTAGAGGTGGGTCAGGAGATTCAGGTTAAGTACTTTGGTCGTGATCCCGTCTCTGGTTTCATGCGACTTTCGCGGAAGGTCCTTCAAGGACCCGCTTTGGGCATAACCCGTTCCCTCAACAAATCCGCCGGAGAGAACGGAGCGTGATTTTTGTTACGACTCCCAATGGGAGGCACTTTTGAAATATGCAACTTTATTGTAGGCCTTATAAATTTCGTGTTTAAAACTTGTACGTATATATAAAATATAGATGAAAACTCAAATCTAAGATCGTTCTCTGTATAAAATAATTTGTTTGGAGCTTAGCCCGGGATTCAATTTCTTACTTAATTAAAATTGTTTTTCTGTAAAGGATAAGCCTCTCTCGATCTGCTTAAATCTGTATATGCAAATAGGGATGTATGTCTATAAAATAAGTATTTTGTGAAACTTTGATAATTGAATTTCAAAAATTGAAGTTATATCGATTTTATCAAAACAATTTAAAAATCGAAACATTTCAGAAAGATGTTACTAAATTGAATTTTTATAGCGTTCCGCTTAAATTGGTCTGATATATCAACGAGAACATCGAATTAACGTACATAAATCGCCACATTAAAATATCGAGTTATGTATATAAAATATATATATTATATTTCGACCACAGACTACCCTTATGAAAGCTGATACTTAAAATCTCGATGTTTACTTTAAAATATATATTTTTATAAATTTATATTTATGTGCACAGGATTCTTTTTTTCTTAGTTTTCAACTTTTGACTTAGGCGTGAACAGCATCAGTAGGGAATTCGTTTTACTTTAAACCAAGTAAGAAAAATTACTAAACCTTATAACAGATCTGTTTTGAATCTTTTTCGAATCTATGGAGTTGGAGCTTGATGAAATGAGATTTCTTGATAGATCTAAAAAGTTTTAGGTCATCTCGCAATCTCATCAATTTCCTTACTCTGTAATTCAAAGTTGGGCTTATAAAAAAATTTTGATTCGATTAATTGTTAAATGGCATCTAGAAACATAGCCACTTCAAGTAGAATTTTGGCCAAAACAAAAAAAACAACAGTTTTGTGACACTTCGAAGCTTAACCTAAGGTCGAGTACTACTAAGTAGTTCTGCCATCTTTAGTTTTGCTGTGGGTTAGATGATGACGCGGTAATAGGAATCGGAAATGCTGTACAAGGCTACTATTGGTGTCTTGGCATCGGTTAGATAATCCATGACCTCGTCATTTATATCCGATATATAGCGTTTGTATTTGGGAAATCTGTAAATAACAATTTCTTAGTAATTAAAGATTAACTTGTTACATGTTTCCCTCACTTACCTTTCAATCACAAAGTTGATTTCCGGTTCAGTCTCTTTTTTACGTATTTCCCGCGGATTGATGGCCCCCACTATGGCATTTACCACCGCCGGAGGCAGTTCCACCACCAGCACCACAAAGGTTTCCTTCTTGATGAACTGAGCCAGAGTGGAGCTCATCTGCTGCGCCACCTGATTCTCCAGTCGTCTCTTATAGTTCGCTGTGGGCTTTTCGTGGGTGAGGAACGAGACTTGGAGATTCGGCAGCTGGCTGTAGCTGTTCTTGATGGTGGCATTCGAGGCTGACGTGCTGAGACCGTTCTCACCGCGTTCCCTCTCCTTGCCACCGCTGTTGCCACCTCCACCACCACCAGCACTAGTGTTGAACACCTGACTTGAGTTGTCTACAGTGGCTCCGCTCATCGCTTCCGTTCTCAGCAGTTTCTCAATAAACTCCACCAGCTCAGCTCTCGTTAGATGACGCTCCTGAAAACGATCTCTCTCAAACGTACGCACTCTGAGAGAACCATTTTCGGCCACCAGAATGACATGTAGAGCTCCAAGTCGCGCCAAATCCTGAGCCTCATCACCTACTTCGCTGGCGGCCTCCACAATGCCGCAACGGATACCCACTGACCAGAGCAGTCGCATGATATAGGTAACGTCCTTGAGAGGCGGACGAGTGCCACACACACAGATGCCTACATCGATGGCTCGACAATCCTTGGCGTACTCCACGGCTGCAACGAGTTTGTCCAGATAGAAAGTCATACCCGCGCCACTGAGCCCGCCACGCGAGGGCAGGGCGCAGTTAAAGCTTTGAGCCTGTCGCTGGAACTCGTGTAGCATAGCATCGTAACGCTCTCCCACTGCCAGAACTGAAGGATGACCAGAACGATTGGGTTTGAGGTCAGCAGTCATCTGCCAAACGATTCCTCCATTGCTGGCACGTTCAAAGCTGAGGGGCAGACCCGCCCATATGTGAATGGGACACTAAAAGAGGAAAGTGAGCTGTAAAATCTGGTAAATAAATAAATTTCTTTACTCACGGTCACGCCCAGGCTGTAGGCTAGACCCACAACAGTCTCCAGTTCCCTTAGAGCACCTCTCGCCAGTGAAGCCGCCTCACCCTTGCCCCGCATAAGGGCCTTTAGCGCAGAATCATCCACAGTACTCCTCGAGCCCGTCAGCAAGAAGTTGGCCAACAGCATGTCCATCAGGGTTTGAGCCGAGGTGCGTGATTTCTCCATGATGACTGTTATGCTAGAGTGGAACTGGAACCTTGATATGCGCGACTCGATAAAGTCCATGGTGCCCTCAAACAAGGCTTCATATTGTGACTTTGGAACATTGCAGTAGATAAGGATGGCCCTCAGCAGATTCGTATGGTTCATGCGTATCGCAAGATTTCGGTCACGCAGACGCGGCAGCTCGGTGGTGATCTCAAAGGCCAGCGATAAAAGTTCCGCATCCACTAAGTGGCTGCCCGTTGTGGGTGCAATGATATCAAAGGAGCACTCGTAGCTCTGCTTGGGATGGAAGTTGAAGACCCGCTCCTCGCGATAAACACGGTCCACGCAGTAGCGTCGGATGAGATTCACGCCGTTCATGGTCACGTGACGGGCAAATTGGGTGCGCAGATCGCAGGGCAGCACCACAACACATCCAGAGTGGGTCATCAGGTGCACAGCATTCGCGTTGGCATAGGCCCGGCTGTTCCTCGCCGAGAGTGGCGATAGGAGCGGTGAATCCACTTCAATAGCTCCATGTTTGCGGAAGAGATTTACCACCTTGGCTTTGACGAACTCAATCACCGGATTGAGGGAAACTATATCGTCTATGACGATGGAATTCCATGATTTCATGGCCCGACTGCTACCTAAATGGTAGGTGTGCTCCAGAACTTCATCACTCTCCTGCTGGAGGCAGCGGGCCACGAGGTTCTTGTACGCCTTGCTCTGCGGATTGGCCAGAGCGTGACGGAGCATCTCTTGCAGCTCGTTGGCCTCCAGCTGGGCTGGCGGCACGAGATCCGAACTAAGCAACTCCTCGGCGGTGGGACGCTGGGCGGGATCATGGCTAAGTAGCCATTGTAGCATCTGGAGGAAATCAATTCATTTATTTTATATAAAAGTACCTTATAAGAGCTTACTTTCACCGTCTTCTCGTACTTGGGATCCTTGAGCATTCGATCCGGGATGTTTATGGACTCGGTCCTCAGTGCCATTATGGTTTGCGCTCGCTCCATACTCGTGTCGAACGGCGGCTGGCACATCTCGAACAGAATAATACCCAGCGTGTACATATCGACCTTCTGGTTGTACACCGATTTCGAAGCGTTGCCGGTGAGCTCGGGAGCCACATAAAGGGTGGTGCCCACCTTACCAGTGCCAGTTCCATCCTCGGCACTGGTTACATTGTGGACAGGAACGGGCGCTGGATATTCGTGGGCCTGCAGAGCCAAGAAGCTAGTGGTTGCTAGGCCAAAGTCTCCTATCTTGATCTGATCGTGGGAGTCCAAGAAGATGTTTACAGGCTTGAGATCCCGATGGATAATGCCTTGCTGGTGAATGTGCGAGAGACCCTCAGCGATCTCCCTGAACAGGCGCCACAGGCGATCGGTGTCATCGAACAGGTTATCATCGATGGCGGTGCTAAAAGTGAACATGTTTGGATAAGGTTTTTATCGAAAATTATCTCAAGACCTCACCGTAGTGTACACTTTTCGCAGAACTCCATTTGAATGTACATAACTTGCATGAGGGGCTTTGGTGAGCTGGTTTTGCCTCTGGAGTCTTCTTCCTCCTCCTCATTGTCGTAGACAGCCACCTTACCGTTGGAGTCCACAAACTCAATCCCATCTGAATCGGAATCCTCAATAGCAGGCCTGCGTGATAAAGAAAGAATTAACAAATCTTATGTGTTTTAAATTTTCAACCTACATATAAGCATTCCACATGCTGGACGAGCTATCATCGTCCTCATCTTCCTCCAAGGTGGGACCCATTTGTGGCGACTTTGCAGGTTTCACACTGAGCTCCTGTTGACTCTGCGACCATTCTCCACCCAGCAACTTGTCCATTTCGGCGGCATCTGCGTCATCCACGCTTTCAATCCAACTGTTAAAGTAACGTACTACGTTTTCGTGATTCAGACGTGAAAGCAGCTCCACTTCGCGCGTCATCTTCTTGTACAACTGCCGGCTGCGAGCGGGAAGCGGTATTCGCTTAATAGCATACTCCCGGTTGTCCAGGATATTGCGCACTTTCAGCACATCTCCGAAAGCTCCTTTTCCTAAGTACATAAGCACCTCGAACTCGGTTCGAAGGCGGGATTGACTGAGAGCCAATGTCGGTATCTGGTAGGGCAAAGCATTAGCCGTACGCTGGGCGGGGTTGGGGTGTCGTTGTTGCGGTAGCTGAACCAATTGCTGTTGCTGCCCGTTGTCCACGTAAAAGCGAAGAAAGGGATGCTCGAGCAGTTCTGAAGCGGATAGAGTGCGGTCCGAGTTGCATCTGTAAGAAGCGAAGGGTTAGGACTGCTTACTTCTGGTCTACCCAACACTCACTTGTCCACAAAGTCGCGCATTTCATAGCTATTCGTCGGCATGAGACTCTCCACCAGAGCACCCAAGGCGGGCAGGTCTCCTCGATTGCTGCTCTGTCCTGGTCCGCTTAGCAGCTCCAGAAGATTGGGCACTAGAGAGTAGTCTGAGCAGCGAACATTGCCCGTGTTGTCCATGAACACTGTGCTATCCAACAGATGACTATGCGATATTCCCCTATTGTGCAAGAAGACAAGGGCATCCAACATGCCACGGGCTACCATCCTAGCTCCATCCATGCACCAGCCTAGCGAGGAGGAGATACTGAACACACTAGTGCCGAGAAGGAAATCCTGAACCAGGTATATCAGCAACCCCTCTTTGCGCTTAATGCACAGCACGCACTCGTACGGGATGAGGTTCTTGTGCTGCAGCTGGGCCAGAGTGGCCACTTGTTTCTCTATGGAGGCGATAACCTCATCCACTCTGTGATTGCCTGCGCATTTTGTCTCGCTGCTCCAGTGGCACTTGCCGCCACCACTGCACGGCTGCTCCAGCTGGCAGTACTTGATGTTCCATTCGGTAATGTATAGTAGCTGGCCGCAGTGCATGTCGATGCCGGTGTAGGCAATGCAGCCACGCTGGGAGTGACCTGCAGTAACGATACTTTATTACCTTTGAGAACTTACTTCCGAGTAAGTAGCACTCACCTAGACAGCATCCCCGCTGTATCTGTCTGCCCACCTTGTGAAAGTAGAGCGTCTCTGTGTTGCGGTGATCCAGGCACTTGCTGGGATAGATGTGGCCGCGATAATAGGGCGAAGAGTTTTCGGAACTCTCCGAGGAGCTGGGATGGCGGGGATTCGACTCGCTCATGCTGCGCCTTGGCTCGCCGCGGCGCTTGGCCTCCGTCTTGAACATCTCCTTGCGCCGCTCTACTTCATCCATCAGGGTCTGGCGCTGCAGGCACTCCCGCTGCCTCTGCATGTCTAGCAGCTCCTGTTCCCGCTTCTGCTTGTCCTGCAGCATCTGGTCGTAGAAAGAGCCCTTGGGCGGTTTGTTGTGCTCAAGCAGGAAGGCCTGCACGGTCTGGGCCAGTTCGTATATCATTACTTCGCCGCGCAGCTCCTGAGATTGGGCCTGCAGCTTGCTGAGCAGGGCCTCCAGTAGTTGATCTGACATTCCTTTGGACTCCTCCAGCACGATTTTTGGTGGCCTGAAATAGTTAGATAGTTTTATTATTATTATTTTCTTATAGAACCTCCTTTTACTCACAGTTTTGGGTATTTGGAGGGGCAGGTAACATGGAGCTTGGTGCAGACGTAAGCCTCCAGGCCATTGGACGAGTCCCGCAGCGGTGTGAGCCGTATCTTAATGTCTGTGGGTTTCCACACCGCCGCATTCGCCTGGGGTCGTAGGTCCTCAACATCGTTGCCGAAGATGGCCTATGCATGCAAGGGGAGGAGCAAATTTCGTCACTATTTCAGCGGACAGCGGGCAACAGCTGCTTACCTTAATAACCTCCAACTCCTGAGTCTGCCGCTCGCGAAAAGATTCCTTCGCTGCCATGACGTCTGGCTGTTGTTCATTAAATCTCACTTAATTTGGAAGCACCCTCGCTGCATCGGATGCCTTGGAATACTGGTGACGGTCGTGGTTGGCTTCAGGTTTCCTCTTTGTGCGTCCGGGTTATAAGAGGTCCGGCCGGCGTAATTTTTCGGAACCTGCGCTGGCAGCTGTTTCCCCCTCAGCTGGTTTCTGCATAACTTTTGTTTTGGTTTCCGCCGGAAATCGCTGGCGAATAAATTACTCTGTGGATTCCTGTAGTTTTACGGCGTCAAAGTTTCCACCTGTTGAGCTTTTCTTTCAATTATTTCCAGGAAGAAGAAAATGTTTTCCGAATTTTTGTTCTAAGTACTAGAGATGGGAGATTCTCGATGGCTTCGCCCTTAGAGGTGGCAAATTATCGATAAACGTAAGCTTTTGATTTGTAGGGTTGGGCGGGAAAATATATGCGAATATAAATATGCTTAAAACTAAATAATTTGAGTGAATAAATTGGTAACAAAAAAAGTATTTATATTTTTAATTTTATGATTTATCAGAAAATATAAATCAAACAATAAATTGTATACTTTAAACATCTGATTCAATCTCGACTGATTGATCAAATATAGAAACAAGGCCGCCGGACTCAAAAGCTGTTGATTTAGCTTATCTAATGAAAAGTATGAAATTTATTGTTGCTCCACCTTTAATATAGGCAGATCTTGTCAGACTTTGCTGTTCAGTGTTCACAAAGAGCCCGAGGGCAGCAGAAGCCCATTGCAGAAAATGAAAGTCTGTATAAGAGGAGTTTTCATGCTGGCATGTCTCCTGCCCGGTTATCTGGAGGCTGCTCGAATCCTGGCATTGTTTCCCATACCAAGTCCTTCGCATTATTTTTTCGGCTTGCCCTATCTCAAAAGATTGGCTTCTCTGGGCCACGAAATAACCTCCGTCAATCCCTTTCCCTTGAAAGAGCCTGTGGCAAATATACACGATGTGCCTGTTCTAGAAGTTTTTGAAAATTTTGAAGGTAAGCTTATATTAAGTTAAAGTTTGCCATTTAAGTTTTACATTTTCATTTAAGAAATTCTAAAACCCACGCCTAAACCCAGAAGCCATTGGAATGATAATGACTTTATCAACGAATACACTCATAACCTGACAAAGACAGTACTGAGCAATGACGGAGTGCTTCGAGAGATTCTCAATAAAGAAAAAACTCAGTTTGACTTGGTCATTGCGGATCTTTGGCGGCTTGATGCTCTCTATGGCTTAGCGGCAACCTTTGAGGCTCCAATAATTGGCTTGGCTCCGTACGGCACTGATTGGAAAATCGATGGACTTGTGGGCAATATATCACCCATTTCGTACATCCAGTCTCCATCCTCTAACCTCTACGACTTAGACACATTTCGCGGTCGGTTGGCTCACTTTTTAGAGCGATCCATTGCTTGGATAAACTGGAGTTGGCGCCATCGGGGGAAGCAAGAGGCACTTTACAGAAAGCATTTTCCGAAAATCGCTGATAAGCTGTCGTTATCTGAGATTTCCCGAAACTATGCATTGGTCTTTGTAAATCAGCATTTCACTTTGGGGCCACCCCGCCCATACGTTCCAAATATGATCGAGGTGGGAGGCTTGCATATTGATAAGGAACCGAAACCATTGTCACAGGAATTGGAGGATTTCATCCAAGGTGCTGGGAAGGATGGCGTCATTTACTTTTCATTGGGCACCAATGTTAGAAGCAAATCTTTGTCCCAGAATCTTCGGAAGTTACTCATGGATACCTTTGCCAAACTGCCACAGCGTGTGCTGTGGAAATTCGATGATGAACAGCTGCCAGGAAAACCCTCAAATGTTTTGATTAACAAATGGTTCCCGCAGCAGGACATTCTGGCTCATCCAAAGGTGAAGTTGTTCATAACCCATGGAGGATTGCTGAGCACCATTGAAAGCATTCATTACGGAAAACCAATGCTGGGACTGCCTTGCTTCTTTGACCAGTTCAACAATATGGAACATGTTAGAAGCCAAGGTCTGGGTTTGGTTCTCAATTTGAAGGAAATGACCAAGAAGGAGTTCAATTCAACAGTCTTACTGCTGCTGACGGAGAAGAGCTTTGGGGAGGCAGCAAAGGCAAGAGCAGCTTTGTATAGGGATCGGCCCATGAAGCCTATGGAAACAGCCATCTGGTGGACTGAGTACATCCTCCGGCACAAGGGAGCAACTCATATGAGAGTAACCGGAAGGGAACTGGACTTTTTTACCTACCACAATATAGATGTTTTGGGTACTTTTCTCCTTGGCTTCTTAGCCATTTTAGGAATGGTTTCGTTGTGCGTGGTCAAGTCTCTCAGGAAATGCCTTCGTTATGGAGCGAAGAAAAATAACCAAAAGCAGAAATTATGTTAAATAAGAAGAGTATTTTAAATATTAATGATTGACCAATTGTTTAGCTATTAAGTTAGGGTATCACGGAAGCGCTCGTCACTTTTTACTTTATCCCCAGCATTGCCACATTTTTCTAAAAGCATTCCAACGATCGATCTTCCACCAAAGCTTAAATGTAACAGTGAAGCCCAAATTAACTTTTGTCTTGTTTTGTTCCCAAAAATATTTTGTGTTTTTTGTAAAATTAAATTAATTCTCTAACCATGGAGCAGACCCGAGTTGTGGTGGTATTGAGCAACACCGAATCCTCTCAAGAATCGGTTAAGCCAGCGGGGAACACCTTCTCGGAATCAGTTGTAGCAGGACGGGTACAGCAGCAGCAGCAGCAGCCTCCGGCTTCTGATACCTTTCAATATGGCGGGGAGGTGAGCATTCTAGACGATCGCACCTTGCGGCTTCTCTACTGCCAGAACGCCTCCAAGCCTCACCTGCTCCTGGCCCAGAAGTTCCGCTTCGATGTGTTGACCACTCAGGAGTGCGGCGATGAGATTCCCGCCCTGCTTCACTGCCTCTTTGTGGAGCGACGCGATGGCTTTGCTATGCACCTGCGGGTGGAGCGGGAGTGCCACTTGATGTTCCTGCTGGACACACTGGTCATCCAGGTGAACGGGAAGCTGCAACGTGAGGGAATGCAACTAGAACGAGGCATTGTTCGATTCCGCAAGCTGCAGGAGGAGGATCAGCGTGGTAATACAGGGAACAGCATGCAGACGCAGAGCGCCTTCAGCGACACCCATGGCCTGATGCTCTGGCTGATGAATCAGTACCGCATGCGGGCAGATCTTAGCACTGGAGTCGGTCACGATGCCCTGGAGGTGGAGTACTTGGTGGCGCACAAGGAGACGGGCATTCAGTTCAGCGTTCGTCTCTTTGTGCTGCTGGTGGCCTTTGAGGAGCTCAGTGTGAGCTCTTTGTGTGGCCTGCGATGCTACTTCAGCGATGATCTGATCACATCCTCGCTGGTGGGCACCGAACTCATATCCTTCATGCAATATGCCACCAATCAGAGCCGCAGCAAGCCCCTATATATGATCATTTTGTTCCATGTGACGACCAGTGGTTCCCAGGTGAATGCCAGGAATGCACAGCTGCTCGTCCTGGCCCATCTGGCCAGTCAGCAGCATTCCCCTCAGCTGGATACCGTGGTGAGTGGTTTAATTTGCTGTCTTATGAGAATAATAATCATCATTTTACTTGCCAGCAGTCAGCCAGCAGTTCATTCGCCCAACTGAATCAGTTTGAGAACTGCCAGAAGGAGATCAGTGATCGATTCAAGCAGGTACATGGCTCTCTGATGCAGTACGTCCAGCAGGCGGAGCAACTGAAGCACTATCGCCAACGGTTCGATGAGCAACTGGCCCAGTTCGAGGAGCTGCTTAAGCAGATAGCCAACACTGAGTTTGGTCACATGTTGCAGGCCTCGCAGGCCAATCTCCAGAAGCTAAACAATCTGTTGGAAAAGAATACCTAAAAGTGATAAGTTTTAAGTTTTATATGATGTTGTCCATGTGCTCTTTTGTCTTATTAAAATAGGTTGAACCTTAACTCTTAACCCCTTAAATCTCCACATAGATGTATACTTATTTAGGGTTTTGAAAAAACAGTCTAAATTCAAAATAGCATATTTTAAGACTATCCAAATTTAAGTTTCAAAAAATTAATCTCTCACAGAGAAAAGTAAAGGATTTCCCGGACCATGAACAGCAACTCGCTCACCAAGAGGCACCATCGTGTAATGGTGGCCCTCACGGATCCCAAGCGTCGAAGTTACTCGGAAGAGCCTTGCCTAGACGAAGAGATAAAGTTGTTGGACAAAAAAGCGATGCTGTTGAGGATTCCAAATGCCTTGGGAAAGCCGGGTCCTTTAATGAAATCTCCTCGGTATTACCGCCATATGGAATTCGATGCAATTGGCTATGACTTTGAGACTCATATACGGTCAGAATTAACGGACCTAATGTCCCAGATGTTTCGGTATCATCGTCATGGCAGTCTGCTGCGATTCCCAGCTCAAAGAAACCTGAATCCAAGCTTGCTAACCCGCCTGCTCGTCACAGAGGTGGAGAAACTAATGATGGATCTGCGTCTCCGTTTAAAAACCATCAATGTGGACTACTTCGATGTGAGGAAGTTCGACATGATTAATCTGCTTTTGGACCCTAAAGCCACTCGAAATCATCGACGTGATCTAATGTGTGGAAAGAGTTTCTACAGCACCAAGGATCTGTATCAGTGGCTGGTGAATGATTTGACCACATTACGAGGACGTGCCATTGGCGATGATTACCTGGACTTTGAGTTTGTTTACCGCGACACCCAGCCCAGGCAGCACAAGATTCGCCTGTCGGTTTTCCATATTTTCAACAGCGAGGACCGATCCGACTTGGCCGAGTTTTTGAAGAGTGTGCCCAATGGCAGGCAATGTGGGGTTTCGAGCACTCTGCTCAATGATTGCCTGAAGGAGTCCTTTGACTTAAAGAGTCCCACTCCAGCGCTCATGATGTTCGAGCTGCCAATGGTCCCAGAACTCTGTGATTATCGTCGCAAGGTCCTGAAGCTGGCTGATATGGCCTATAGTTCTCTGGAGAAGGGTCGACAATTAACAGCTAAAATCGAGATGAGATACTCATCGCAATTGTCCATAAGTGTGAGTAGAGAGAATCGTCACAACACCAGCCGTTGCTCCCTGAGATCGGTGCCCCATATTCCGATGGCTCATTGGCGACGTACCGCCAAGTTTTCGGATGAGGACTACAATGGCCTGGCCGCCTGGTACAAGAGGATAGATGCCAAGTTTACGCAGCTCAAGCTGGGCATGGAGCAGCACTTTGTTAATTTGTTTAAAAGGAAAGCTTTGGACCTTCGTCGAGAGTTGACATGTATTAATCAGGATCTGGGTTTGACGAGAGACGAAAGCGGTGGCGACGCGTCACGATTGCCGAATAACCCAGGTGCTCAAGATCCAAGTGAGGAAATATATAATGAATTGCAAAGGGAATTCAAGTCACTAGAACAAGATGCAGAGAGATCTGCCTATGCATCCACTTTGAAGGTCTACATTAGCACCAAGAAGTACGAGTTGTCCGAGGCGGAGAAGACCCTCAAACAGAGGGAAATTGAGAACCTAAGAATCCGTTTGGTTCAATATATAAGTAGTTAATTCCTTGGATTAATCCATTTTCGAGGATTAGAAGTTTTTCCAGATGTCACTGTCTGTCGCCCCCGTCAAGTGACGCCTGGAAAAACTCCTTTTCCTTGGAGAGAAACATAAGAGGAAACCCATTTAATTGTCAATTTACTTTACTTGATCGTTCTTGTTTTTTTGTTTTCCAGAAAGACAGAGGTTTCGTATTGGGTATACATATATAATATATAATATACATTTATAAATACAATATTATTGTCAACAATATGTTTCATAGTAGTTTAAACAGATTCCCCAGCTGCGGCTCCATATTACGTTGTGTGTATGTGTAACAGTTAAATAGTTGAATGCTAATTAGGCAATAATATTCTTTTTATATGAATAACACTTGGTTGTCAAACACTCAAAGCAACAACAACTAATGAATGTTGAAATCAATGCTAGATCAATTCGATTCGTATTCGTAATTAGACAACAATTTCCATTTAGAGTTATTTTCATTAATTATTAATATGTATGTTGGCAATGTTCCTGTTTCGTCTCTCGTTTAACTACAAACTTGAAATCGTTTCTCTTGTTGGATATGTGCATTAGGCGATGGTTTTGGGGGTTTTAGTTGGGGATTTGTACGAGTGGCAGTTGTCACAGGAAGTACTCTCTCTCTCGCTATCTCTGGTGCACAAATGAAACCTCACTGAGCGAACTAAGCATTAACTTAAACCAAAAATGATGATATAAAATTGCAGTTCCACTAAAGCTAGTCTTAATAAAATCAATGAAAAATCGGCTGTGTTTTAAAATATTTGTAATATTTAAGTATTATTCTTAGTAGCTCTGTAGAACGTGCCTTTGAGTATGTTCAAGCGTTTGAAGCTGCGCCTAGAGCCTGGTTTCTAAAATGCAAATAGTCTGAAATGCTTTCAAAATGTATAAACCTTTAAAACTAGTTTGGAATTTAAGAAACAAATTAAAATTACACTTTTTCATGTGGGGGTTTTGAGAATACTCCAAAATCGTAAAAGACTCGTTCAGCTCTCTCTCTTTTAAAAAAGAAACTAAACTAACCAGCAGCTCTGGACAACATATTTCCTTGTAATTTCCATTCGTTTCACAGTCTTTGCATTGAGTCCGGGTCCAGAGCTGCCAGCTAATTGGGCTTCAATCTGTGTGTGTAAACCTACTGGACACCTGGGCCTTGTTTCAACTTAGGACATATACATGTGTATATAAAAATATATATATTGTAGTATATATTTTCTTGATTCGTATTCGTGTGTGTTTTCATTGGTTACACAAAAGCGCTTTACTTTGTCTATATAATGCATGATGCAGAGTTAAATGTGTGTGGCTTATAAATGCTTTCCCTCTGCTGTCTTGGCTAACTTGAAATCTCGAAACATTCGCCGGCCGAAGAACATTCGTTACTTTTTTACACCTGAGCTGGTTTCTTCTGCTTGCCGAGTACCATGAGCAGTTTTTGTAGGAGATGTGTGAGGCTTACTGGAAGGTAAAGAAATTCTAATATTAGTTATCAATTTAAAAGAGCAATATATAAATCGTTATGATCTACAATTTAGCTAGTTAGAAGTGCAAAGAAAACTCTTGAGGGTGCAAAATATTTTTGGTCGTTAGTTAGTATGTTAAATTTAGGAATTAATCAATCTAAACGAAAGTTGTTAGTGCTGAGGCAGGCAATCTGTGTGGATGTGGACGAGAGTCGAGTGTTAAATCAAAGTAAAACTAGGATAAATAGCAAACTAAAAACCTTTGACGCCGCTTTGGGACGCACAACCATCATCAGTTTCTGTAGGGCTTGTGTCAGTCCGCCTAGAATATCGAAAACACGTTTTTTGGGTAGGAGTTCACAGCGTAAATCAGTGAGAGAAATCAATAGAAATAAGCAGCTTCTGGCTTCTGGTGGAGTTTGGGTAAACCAGGACTCGTCATCACAACTTACCCATGCACTTCTGGAACCAGATGGGTTTGTTCTTCCAGGCAATAAACACCAAATAGACGGGAATGCTGGACAGAATCATCAGGATGCCATAGCCAGTCTCCACAGGACTAGCATACATGGGCACCACGGTCACAAACATGGTGGCAATCAGGTAGACAATAGGGAAGACCATGGGCACTCGGATGGGACGAGGTAGATTGGGTTGAGCCCATCGCAGCCAGGGCAGGCACAGGACAGCAACACCAATGCTCAACTAAAGGGAGAAATTATAGGTTATAGATATAGTACATCAATTTTCCACTTGCTAACTCACCCAAGTGGCAAAGCCCACATAGTTAATCAAGGCAAAGATATCAGACACTGTCAGGTACAACATGGAAAGCAAAGCCATGGCCAGGACAGCGGGCGTAGGTGTGAATCGTTGGATCTGGATCATGGTGAGGATCTCTGGCATCTGACCCTCATTGGCACCGGCATAGAAGAGACGAGATGAGGTCAGCAAAATGCCATTCACAGCACCAAAGGTAGACAAGGCCACAAAAACTGAGAAACAAGAAGAAAGTTTAATAACATTTCTTTAATTAAAATCCACGGGAAATCCCACCTGGAATGGTCCAAGCCAACATCCCAAAGGCTCTTTCCGCATAGGTCACTGCCACAGCCGAGGAACCCAGGACCTCATCCGGCGACAGGATGGTGTAGAAGGAGACATTCGCCATGACATAGACAACGGTGACCAGGGTGCAACTGATGGCAATGGCACGGGGCAGATTCTTGACGGGATCCTTCAGCTCCTCAATGATAAAGTTCAAGTAATTCCTGTCAACGGCAGAGCAAATAAATCCAATTACTTAGTGTCCTTGTCCCGCCCGAAGGAACCCCATCTAAGCCGCTTACCAGCCATTGTAGGCGAAGAGTCCCGAGTAGAAGGACAGGGCCAGGGATGTGACTTTGGTGTCCGTATTCTCGAATGTAAAGTACTGGACATTGCCCAGATATAGTTGGTACATGCCAGTGGCAATGATGATAAACAGGGCCAACAGCTAAACAGGGGAAGAGAGAAAAGGCTACTGATGAGTTCTGGCCCAAAGGGGAAATCCAATCTAAAACGACTTACTTTGGCATATGTGAAGATATCCTGCACAGCGGTGGCCCATTTAACGTCCCAGCAGTTGATCAGGGTTAAGACGACTGCAAAATGAAATGAAAATACATATATTATGGGCTAAGAAGACCGCTTAACCCACATTTGGAGCCGGTGCCCATCACGACTTTAAAGTCACGCCAAAGATATAAGTCCGCAGATGCGAACGACCCATGTGGGTGATGTAATAACGCGAGGTTTTACATGTGACAATGTGACAACTAGTTATTTATTGCTTCGGCTATTGTCCCAGGCAAACGCACTTGATTCCGCACAATTAAATCACTATTAAATAAGTAATGGGGGGAATCGCCATCTGGCACTATCAACAAGTTGGTTTAGACAATGTGGAAAAATCAAACGATAATCGGAAAATGATTTTCCTACGATTATTTCAGCACTCTTCTCGAATTCGGCTTTAGGTTCATTAAACTGAAGGCTTTTTATTATCGCCATGTCAAGCGAAATGATATTTTTATAAAGTCAATATACAGCACAATCGTGAAATGGTTTTTAATGACTGCTTTTGTGGGAGAAACCCAAAGATTTAATTGTTTAAAAAGAGGTTTAACTTTATTTTTGTATATACCATAAAAATGTCTGGTTAATAAGAATAATACTTATATATTGAGACTAGCTTAGGGAGTATATCGAAGGTAAATAAAAAAAAAAAAAATTACATACAATATATATATATCCCTTAAGCAGTTCAATCTGTATTTATTACCGATCTGAAACAAAAACAAACCACTGTTGTCCGCCTCCCCTGCGAACCATTATTCTGGCACACTGACTGATAAGCCTTAATATGGCAAACTCTTTCAACATGTTTATTTACTCTATACTCAGGGGATGCATTTAAATTGTGTGTGTCTAATCTATAGGTCAAGTACGCGGAGTGCATTGATAGCAGCCCCAGGCCCCCTCCCTGTACAACCGAGGTTCTTCCGCCCAACAATAACAATAATGTAATACTCACGGATACAGCAGACGGCCAGGAGACGGGCCGAGTCCTCTGGCGGTGCGCATTCCGGGAAGAAGGGTTTCAGGACATAGGTACTAAAAGTTAAAGCCACAATGGCCTGGGAGCAGGGACGCACAATCATGCACTCAATCCAGAGACGGATGAAGGCCATAAAAGGTCCGAAGGTCTCCATGATGTAAGCATAGTCAGCACCTGACTTGGTGATCATTGTTCCCAACTCTGCATAGCAATAGGCGCCAACCTAGAATTAATACAATGAGTATTATTAAAGAGCAAGGTCTTTGTAGATTTTAAGCTAAACTCCCCATAGAAAGTGTAAAATTTATTAAACAAAATATAGTCAACTCAACAAAAACATTAGAGCAAAGCAAGGTATCTTCATAAAAGAACATCGTAAATTAAGTTTTAATAATGTTTTAAAGTAAAATCAGAAGTCTGTAGCTGTTCTTTTCTCAAGAGCAGGCCATGTCCTCGGTTTTAAAGTGTTTTGGGGAGTGTGAGGACGCAATCATTGTCATCTGTCAGTGGCAATGCGGCGTATACGCAATTTTTATTGAACCGTGGGCGAAGTGAAGCCGCAGCGCGTGCCTTTGACAAGGGCTTGTCATGTTCTTGTGGGTGGCTGGGTGACATGAATTGGGTGCTGGAATTTCAATAATTTCATTAAGCGACCCAGTGGCACCCTGCCAGCATTCGTAATTGAGCAGGAGAGTCCTGCTCCATGCTTCACCCACTCACTTCACTTCTCCTTTCTGCCAGCTGTGCCCCACAGCAGGTTATTTACACCTGGAGCAGCTCTATCAACAGGTGTCTGGGTCGTAGTTCCATTTGCATACCAGGCCATCAATATTTATGAGCTGCTCACGTTGCCCCACTAATCGAATCAACGCAGCAGAGACACTCCCTCCACTCACCATTGAGAAGAGTCCGGAAATGACCCAAACGATGAGGGCCAGGTTAACACTGCCCGTGTACATCAGCACACCGGTGGGCGAGACGAAGATACCGGATCCTATGATGGAGCCCACGATGACGGTGCAGCCATTGAGCAGGCTCATCTTGGCCTTTAGGGTGACCTCTCCTCCTCCGCCATCGCCACCGTCGCCGCCATCTCCATTGGTCAACTTTGTGGATGCATCTCCATTGCCATTCACTATCGAGCTCTTCCGGGAGGAATTTTTACGATTCAACGACTCTGTTTCCATGCTGTCAGCACTATGGCTTGGTCTTTAAAAAGTAACCTTTAAAAAATAAAGGATAGAGAGTTAATCAGTTATAATGAAAAGTCTAGGCATATCAGTAATATAAACTATAATAGCTTAACAGGATTATTAATTCAGTTTTATTTTTCTTAATTAAACAGCTTTAACGAACAGCTACTTACAAATATGATAATTCTTAACTTTAAATAATTTGTTTTGCAGTTTGTTATCATATTTATATAACCATATACCAATAGAAATGTATTAAACTTTATATAATAATCTTAAAAGAAACCAGTATCCTAAGATACTGTTTATATTTTTCTCTACACATTGATTTACTATTTATCTCTCCCATCGATTAATTATCGTTACTATATGCCTTTATAGACCCATAAATAGCCAGTGTTTAGTTTCTTTCAACATCTAATTTTAGCCAATCATTTTTGCCTAGTACATTATTTAGAGGAACCATGTAGAGGGAAAAGTATTTTTCCTGAATTCATATACCTTTTAGTTAATGAACTTGCTTTTTATAATGATTCTAATTATTCAGCCGGTGACGGATGGGCTTTTCTGTCATTGACTTTGAGAAATGGCGTGCTAATTGCGAGCTCTTAAAGGGGATAAGCAAAGCTAAATCAAGATGTACTATGAAATATTATTATTATTGTTTATTTCTTGAGCAATGTTTGTCTGGGATTTATCAGTTGACTCAATTTAATATTTTACGTATGTACTTATATGTTGGCATGCCACTTCATAATCTCAGCTGTGAGAATTCGCGAGAAGGTTTGTGTTTCTTCTTTCCGATTCTTCTTTTTGTAATTTCATTTCTGATTGTATTTCTTTTTGGGGAGTGAAAGGTAATTAAAGGTCATTGCCTGAGGAAAAGTAACGAAATTTGCTCTACTTTTACTTTAACATTTATATATACCTTTGTTTTCGACACAAGCTTTTAAGGTATTAAGTGCAGAGAGAGAAAATACCTAAGAAAAGGTACTAAATTTACCATGGTATCCTGGGAGTTAAGGGATTCAGTTTAATATGAGTTTAAAAGGATTGAGCTTAATTTTTTATAATAAATACTTGAGTCATTTCTGTCTGAGATTTTTCTTAATATTCGAACGTGACTTGATTATCTTCAGCGAATGCTGATGAGGAAGCAATGCCTTTAAGATTAATATTAATATTAATATTTGGGATCGTGGTTCGTTAAACGAGGGACTTTTTTTTTATTATCGGAGCAAAAGTTTGACAGAGCTTGAAGATTGATTGATAAACCTTTGAGGCAATGGCACGTGTGTGGGCCTATGAACCCAGAACAAAGCCAAGGAAGTGATTCCCGCCCACTTATAGGATTAGGTCACGCCACTTGTTTACTTTAGTATGACCAATAGCCAGTCCAGATGGCAGAAAGGGAAAAGGGGGCGGCGGCCACTTCCTCAAAGCGAAAGCTGGACCCACGCTCCGCATAAATTAGCATAAAATCAGAGGCGAGAATAACACAATATAAAAATGTGTGTGTGTTGTGTTATTGAATAACTGGTAGAATGGCACAAGCAAAACAAAACAGGTGAACAAACTAATGAACATTAGATCTATAACACTGCCTCGACAACTAATTGGCCTAAACCGACGATGTTCTTGGCTTAACAGTTGGCCAGCCAAGCCGAACGGTCGAAAAGTTCAAATTACTCCAGATCTCTTGCCTGATGCAATGCGAATAAATTATGAATTGTAATAGGAAATCAGGGTATTTGGGGTATTCCAATTATTTAGTGCGGAATTCCTGAGAAATACGAGCGGGAAATACTACCACTAAATTGCATCTGTGGAATTTACAATGCAACTGGGCTTGCATCATGGCTTAGTCACTCTCTGGAGGGGTCTTTTCGGATTTCTTTTTAAGCCAAAGTGTGAAAGGCAAACGTTATGGCATGTCATTAGTTCGATTCAAAGCAATTAGTTGATATGTAATTGACTTTTACCTTATAATGGCAAAACATTCACCCATTTACTTGACCCAAATCAAGCCTATATGAAGATATACCACAACATTATTGATTCACTATCCAAAAATGATGTTCGTGTGCGCACCTGAAGCGTAAACACAACAGGAAAAAATATATACATCAACAAAGAACCGAAAAAATCCATTAATTTTGTTATAGTAAGCAGAAATGCTTTTATAAATCACTGTTGCCGAACTAAAAAGATGTGCTATCAATTTCGAGGCAAGTGCTAAATATATACAAAGCTCTGACTATCAACTAATTGAAGCTAATTATGGAAAAATTAGTTGATTTTTTGTGCTCAAAACATGATACAGATATAATTTGCTAGGTCATCTAAGTAACAATTATAAGCGCATATTGAAAATTATAGTAATTTACCCTCCAATTAAAAAGAAAGAAGATACAATGGTGAATTTACATAAATAAGAAAGTCTCTTTGAACTCTTCGTTAGCCTGAGATAATCAAAGGTGTTAATTAAAGGCTGTGATTTTATAAACAATAAATACAGTCGAATTGTTATTTACTCAAAAATTCAGTTGGTTGAACTTTAATTTTCAAAACAAGATTATTTTCCATTTACTGATTACATTTTTACAAAACTACAAATTCTTATCAGAGTTTGTTTATTTCGAATTAAATGTATTCAAATCCTAATCAAAATAATAAAAAACCGGCTCGAGGCGCATGCCAAGCATCAACAGGTCCCAGTTATAATTTAAATATTTATTTCAAACAAGAATTAAACATTTTCTGTATATATGCACGCATTAATTGTTGTGGGCAGTTCTTGATAGCGTTTTTACGATTTGCCAAAATCGCCTCATGCATTTAAATTAAATTTTGTTGCTTTGCATCCCATTTTATTTACACCCTTTTTTTAATTTTTTCTGGTTTTTTGTATATTTTTGATCACAAACACAAGTGTTGCTCACGGTAGAGCAAACATATTATTTTATCTGCTTGAATGTTATGCTATTTGCCCAACGCCGAGTACTTAAGAGGAGATTAGGCTTTGCTTTTGCTACCTGCTCAAGAGGTTCGAGCACTTTTCGCGCCGTGTGAAAGCCAAGAGAGAGGTCTCTAACTGCCAACTGCCTTTTAGCCAGCAAAAGTTCCGGCGGAGAACGTGAACGAGAACGACGAGTACACGGAATCGAGAACCGCTCGCTTTCAGCGGGTACAGCAGACTGACAACCACCGGCGGCGGTGGCTCCGCTCCGAGGCATCTTCGCGGCGGAAATCTGTGCCGGAGGTTGGTCGGGTTCGGTACTGGCCGACTGGTGGCTATCACCTACAGGCAATCAAGTTTGGGAAGTCTTAGTGTAAAGCATTTGCCTGGTTTTAACAAGATTTTTTATGAGGTTTTTGGTTTTAGGATAGTTTATATTTATAGATTGCATTCATGTAAATTACTCAATCTTTTAATATATATGTTTGTTTTGTCAGGTATCGATGAAGTGTGGATTAATAAAGTGTGGCTTCTGCATAAAATAGATCTTTGAGAACCAGCAAGAACTGAAGACAAAACTGTAGTGGCATAATACCAATATTGTTAGCACTTTTGGTAGTGTTATAAAATCAATCTTGCTGAAGTATTAAAGCTCATATTAAATTATTTTTTAAAAATAATTATCATTAATTATTATTATCAGGTACGATTAACATATAATATTTTTGTGTTAACTCTAGATACTATTCTTGAAGTTCAATAACTGTTTTCAAAATAGTGGGTAAATTACAAATGTTTTACGTATTAACAGGGAATACTGACCCAACTCCTAAGTAACTCCAACATCTAAGTAAAACTAAAAACTCTTGATTATAAATCCCAATTTAGTTTTAAATAACACTCCCCCAAGTTCGAGAGTTTTTGTTAGAGCCTAAGAAAAGCTCAAGATTGCGCTACTTCGAACCTGTTCGATGTTGGGCCGAGAGGCTCGCTTGTTTCTAACCGGCATTCTGAGCGTTTTTGAATTTGTAATTTATCCGAAACAAGTTTCTGATGCCGCGTTTGTTTGTTTGTTCCCGTGATCGTGGTCGATGTACGCGTACCTTTTGTTTTTTCGGTTACCAAAAAAGTGGTTCTCATTTCTTGTATGTTTGCCCCGAGAGCCGGAAAATGGTACACGCTGGCTTTTATCTAATAGATACAGATACCTGAGCGACACACGTGAACAAGCTCAAGAGCAAGACTAATTTAGTTGAAGGTTTTCTATGTGTTTGCACAAGTGTGGTAACAATCTCCGAGTAGTTAGGGTGTACTCTAAGGGTGTACCTTTCCGGGGAATTGGCGAGGGGCTCTTAAGATACAAAAGCATCTTTCGCGAGACCAATTGTATCTGAGTATCTGTGTGTGTCTTTCTGCGTTCACACGTAGGCTGACGACTGGCTTCGTGTAGAAATGCAAATTAAATCCGAGATGATCTGATTTTCGCGCGCATATTCAAATCCCCATTCCTGCCCACTTGCCCCGATCTATAATTGAATATATCCGCGCCGGGGACAAGCTGCATCCACACACTAATTCTTAAAAGACTTAATTCAAATCTGTCACCGCCAACTGAAGTACAATGGCGTCGCGTCAGTGATTCTCTGAGAATTCCCTGCAATTTCTTTGTGAAATCTATTTAAATAAAACTTGTATTATCCGATTATGTTTGACGCTTTTGAGCGTTACTTTACCTTAAATTTGGCTTCGGGCCATTCGAGTTTATTGACCAAAAAGAAACAAAGGCTGAGACACGAATCTGATTCCCAGTCCCTGATCTCGGTGTCGATATTTATTTTGATCTGTTCCGCAGCCGGTTTGGTTCCCAAACTGTTAAGTGGCCCATCATCGAGTTGCTTAATCTCCCCTTTATTAGTAATTTGTGTATATAAGCTTGAATTAACGACAATTGGCGACGTCACACAGCAGAGACCAGGCCCGGTTAGAAGGTACTGAGAAATCAGTATCCATATCTTGTCCGGATAATTGGATCTCCAGATTTGCGACCTCGTGAAGTGTGGCACTTTAAGAGCACCCAGAGTCGTTAGTCAATTGCTTGATTTTAATCTGATTTTGTACAAGGAACGAAAATAATTTTCTGTATTTAACATGATAAAATTATAACTTAAACATGTATCCAAACATTGGATGTATCTATATTCAGTTTACTTGTTTGAAGCTCAGCTTGGCATACTGAATAATTAATTAATTAATTGCTTCTCGGCACGTGCAACTTGCCATATTATTTTTAGAGAGTAAAATGCTAATCGCACTAATTATTTTCAATTTTACTCTGAAGATATATGTATAAACAGCAGCTTTTTTCACTTGAATTTGTATACCTAATGCTTAATCTCTGACATTTGTTGACAAATGGCGGGTTCTCAGCCTAAGCGCTTCCATTAAATCGCACTTTTGCGATGCACCAATAAATTTCAGGCTCTCCTGTCAAGGCCACCTTTATTTCGGGGCCTTGAACTGGCCCAAAAGTGAGAATAAAAAATAAATAAAAAAGAGTGTGTGGTATTGATATTGCCGGCGTGTCAGGGACCAATAAGTTGAGAGGCTAAACACACCTTTGCTGGTAATAGGTGGGCCGCGTGGGTATTATGTTTCACATTAATTTAGAGATCGACTGTAAGCCCAGTTACTTAGCTGGCATTACAAGTGGGAAAAGGAAATGTCACTTTTCTATATAAAACGACAACTGACCAAATCGCTGGCTGACATTGCATCAGACTCTGGCCAATATATAGTATATATATTAATATTAAAATCGAATGGTTTGGCTGATTAAGCACGAAAAGGGGCGCCAAAGTGTCTGGCAAAGCTTTTGGCAAGCTGATGAGTGGGTGGCATTGGGCAGCACAGCTTCCCTTTTCAATGTGACGTCACTGATTGCCATTTGTGACGCGCAAAAACCAAAAATAACCTCACGCAGGAGAAAATGTCACGGTTTCGGGGGCTCGAATATACTTACACACAAATTTAAATTGATTTTCTGTAACGGCTTAGGAACTTCCGTGAGTTTAAGCTCGCTGAGTTTTAAATACTTTGAAACATTTTTAGTATACTATTATTTCTTTAGGAATTAATTTATGCTTTATTTGGTATAGCAATTGAACTTTTTTCTGACTTAATGTATATAGTTTCACGTTGTTTGTTGGAAGGTTAAAGAAATGTGTGTAAGCTCAAGACCCGTTTCGTTGTCGTGGCCACAGTTCGCGTTCTACTGACGGCGTGCTCGTGGTTACAGCATCCCAAGCATCATCTCAGCAGCAGCAGAGAGAGAGAGAGAGAGAGAGAGAGCAATTTGCAGATTCAAGCTTGGTATTCCCTCCACAAGCTCTCTGATAAGAGGAACCACGTTGCCTGAGAACCTTTCCTCCGAACAGCAAATTACACACTTGGCCACTCGCAACCCCTGGTCGTGTACGCTCAGGCATTCATCAAGGGTCTTTGGAGGTTGGTCATGGGCCTGGCCAGGCACTTATGCGTCTCGTCTCGGATTCCTCCTGCTTTGCTGCTTTTTGTTCTTATATTCTGAATATATATTTTTTGCTTGCTTTGCCGCGACGGCGATTGAAATGCCTTTTGTTGGTCGCGCATAAATTTTCGGCTTGGCACAATCAGCTTTGCGTTGTCGCCCTCCGGCACTCGGGTTTTATATTTGTTGTACCCAAGGTCAGACGAGTCCTTGTGCGCATGTCCTGGATGAGCTTTCGAGTGTTGTATCCTAGGGAGTGAGGCGTGGGATATTTAAAATGTCATTTTAAGGAAGCTTTACCTAAGCGGAGATTTTAGCTATAAAGGAAAGTGTAAAACGTTATTTGTTAACCAGAAATATGTACACTAATTTTATAGTAATTTAAAATTAACATAAAAAACAAGACATAGAAACAACTTTGTTTTGGTTTCATCTAAGAAAGTAATGAAAGTTTTAGTTTTTTAGTTTTTAGATTCATATATGTAGTTTTTAGATTCATATATGTATAATTTTGTTTTTATATATTCTTATATTAAAGTTTCTGGTTATTTGCATTATTTTAATTTGATTAATTAAATCCTTTCATTTTCATATGTTTATATCCTGAAGAGTATTATAGTTTTAGTCAGAGGCTTGTAACGCTGTGAAGGAGTTATTTCCGACCCTATTAATCATATAAATTATTGATCAGCATGATCAGCCGAGTCGTTCTAATCATATCCGGTTGAAAAACATTGCGTATGCAGATTTATTAATTTAGTGAATACTAACATAGGAAAGCTGTCCAAATTAAAATAAAATTTAAAAAATTTCGAAAAAATTGTTATATAAATATATAGATAAAAATGGATTCAATAAAAAAGTTAAGGATATATAAACTTCTGCTTTCCGAATTATATTTTTGATTGTTTATCTTTGTGTAAAATATAAATCTAATATTTTACTTAACGTATTTATACATTTCACAGCGTAAGATACATTGTTTTTTGACAGATATCTAAGTCAATAGGTTTGAGACATAGTACAAATATTTTATTATATAGTAAAAATGTATATAAATAAGTTGTCAGGTCTATCAATATATATTTTCAAAATCATTATACGTCAAAGAAGAATTTAAAATGAATTCATTTCATTAAACGACTAAAAGTGAAGTAAAGTTATTTATCTTTAGAGTGGCGCAGACTTTTTGCCTTTTTTAAAACGTTCTGGACATGTTCAAATATTGTGCGAGTATCCCGACAGATGTCGCTTTGGTTGATGTAAAAAAATCGTAATGTAAAAGATACAATTTACCAGCAGATACAATTTCTCGGCTATTAAGTAATGTAATATTTATTTAAATTCCAAATTTATCTTAAATTAAAAATAAACAATTTCAAACTAAGACCCACAGATAGTGAAAATAATACCCTTAAATAAAGTAAATTTTAGAGTTTGAGAACTAAGAAATATTATAAATTTATCATATAATCATATCATATTATCATATAAAACTATTTGTGAAAGATTTTTAAGAGAGGAACTGCAAAAGTATGAATAGAAAAATAGGCATTTTTAACCCATTCACATCTGCAACAATTTTGTAAGTAACAATCGCATTAATCTGGCAAAATTCGGCACATGCCACATGGGAGGTATTTCCCATCCATAGGTGTTTCCTTACCCATCCCCACCTGTCCACCCCAGCAAGGTGTGTGTGTTCTTTGGTTGGTCGTTTGGTTGACAATAGCGAATACATATCGACGGGGTGTGTGAACCAATGCCATACGTGTGTGTCTGTGTGTGTGTGTGCGGTGTGCGCCGGTAACTTTGATCCAGCTGCGAACTGTTCATGCGTGGAAGCTGCATTGTTGGGCGCTTAAAAGCGATTGCTGCAGTTATAAATGCACTTGCCACCGCGCCACACCCGGCGTATGTGTAATGTGCAACACGCATACGCACTGTTGCACTGCCATAAAAGCCCTCTCACGGCTCGCTGTCCCTGTGATGGTAGGTCTTTGCGTTCGCTTATTAGTTTGTTTTGCAGGAGGGCAGAATCAATCAATGGACAGCCGACAAAACACACCTGGCCCACCTGCCTTCATGGACTGCTATCACCGGCCATCATCAAACACGATTTGACGGCATCAAGGCTTCATTTGTGTGTGCCAGGACCGTTCTCGCCGGATGCCAAGCCGGCAGGATATGAACGGACTACTCCAAACAGGACAGAAAACGCATATTTTCCCACATGACAGTTTGTTTTCGCATCCATGTCCTGGCATCGTTCTTCCAACACCCTTTTGCCACCCCGTCTCTGCATTTTTTGTGCCGCTCTTGATCCTGACGTGACTGCGACAATTGTCGCTGGCACCTGCATCAGAGAGTGGTGATGCTGGAGGAACCGAAGATATGTATATGCCACTATCTGGACGCTGCGACCGCTTTTTGTCATCTTTTGCGTAGGCGGCAAAGTTTCGCCCGACATTCCGCATGCAAATGCAAATTCAAAATGCTCCATTACAAGGGAGACCTGACTGGGGCGACAAAAAAACTTCATCTGCATTTGCTTATCGCTTTGTGCCCGACCGACCAAGCTACGAATTTTTGAATATTTCCTTTGCATGGTGATCAATGAAGTGCGCACTTTTTGCCGCCTCGGTGGGTAAAACAAGTTCTAAGCTACTTACAATGGATGGACACGAGTCCTGGATTTGTCTGAAGGAAGTGGTCTGTTTCGGAATACTGCCAATCGAGGCAAAAACCTATTTACCTTGACGATTCTGTCCCGTGTGAGCTGTGAGCCAGTTCAGTGATGCCTATAAAAGCCAGAAATAAGGAAGTAATAGGTAAATATTGGGAAAGTGAATGTAGGGATTTATTTTATTGATGTCTATCCAGCTTAAGGGGCATGTAAGGAGGTGTTTGAGTTATCTATTTCTATTTTATTTTCTATTTTATTTTGAAAGTCGGAATTGGTTTGATATATTTTCAAAGTTTATTATTTACCAATGTAATTCTGAGAGAAAATATTGGAATAATTGACAGAATTATTAATCCATTATATATTATTTCAACTTCAGTTTGGCTTGATAACTCTTCAAACCAACACCACTGGCACCTGGTCAAGAGTTTTTCACCTGCAAATTTATGCACTTTCTGACCCTCGGCGGCACATGAGACACCGAGACTCTGACTACAGAGCGAATGAAGTGCAAAGCTGCTTTTGATAGCCTTCCTTCCACTGGGCAGTCAGAAGGAGGCGCCAGGACTCGCCAGGAACTCGAAGAGTATTTATGCAAAGTGCTGCCAGATGTCGGCTTATGCTGATTTTCATGGACTGAAATCAATTTGAGGGGGAACCGAACAATTGACGAAGAAATCTCGCAAATGAACATTGGCTGGCGCACAATCAAAACTTTACTAATTACGAAAACTTGCCGAAAAATCTTCTTAATACAATAAGTGCGACAATGCCCGAGCTCCTCTACAGAGCTCAGCCATCCGACAAACAAAGAAACAGGCAAGTGAGAAATTAACTTGCGTTTTCAATTACCAAAGACTCGAAGGAGCCAGGACTAAAACCGAGCTGGCTGCCATCAAAGGATGTGGAGCAGACGCCGTCTGCTGACAATGCGAAAATGCAAAGAGCAAAAGTACTTGAAGCACACAATATTGAGACCGGAAAAACTCGAGGGAAATGGGAAATGGGTCTCTGAACTAGGAGAGGCTACGGCACTTGTGTGTGAGATATTTTTTATGAAAATGTCAGGGAGTGAAAAAGTTGTTAGAACTGAGAATTCCGCTTGGACTGTTATTATTTAGGCTCTGGCTGTTTTTAAAGATAGAGTAAATATCGGCAGGTACACCGGTACAACATTTTTCCCATTGGTTTCTTCATTGTTTTTTGCCATTCTCCAATCCTTTTTCCATATTTGATCAGGACTTTTTTCAACATTCACCTTAACTTGCTCTTCATTTCGGTCCTTACTTATGTTGTTTACCTTCCTTTTTTGCTTTTTCTGCAGCAATTTGCATATCCATTTCTGAGTCCTTTTGCGGGATTTGCATATCCATCTGGCAGGCTCCTCTTGCTCCTGCCGCCTCCGTGATATCTTTCACTTCACCGAACAATTTATTCTTCTCTTTCAGTTTTAATTATCTGAAAGTTGTTTGATCTGTATCGGCAACATTTTGCATAGTTTTTACCACATCTGGATTAGTTTTTCCCCTTCCACCAGAAGAGTGGGGATTCCCCTTAGTGGTGGCACACTTTCTCCATACTCTTCGCGTTCTGGGAGCATTTTCCATTCGGCACAATCATTCACGTTTTTAATTTATTTAAAGTCGTGTGCGGGAATTGTCTCTCCGACTGACTGTCTGGCGACATCAAAAAGCCAGTCGCCATTTGACACTCGAGCCGCGAAAGGATAAAGTTTATAATTTCATAGACTTACCCGGCTCCTTGGGCGGCGTCTTGAATTTATGCGCTGAATTAATTATGCACGTACGGTCTTGGTCCCGGCACTGGCACTGGCACTGCCTCTGACTCGGCGGATTTCCAGCTCCCAAGACCGGAGCAGGAGCAGGAGCAGGAGCAGGAGCAGGAGCAGGAGCAGAAGCCTCTCCGCCGGAATCCCCGCTGTTTGTCTGGTTAGTTTGGCGGCGGCGTTGACGGCGCATTTAAAATAATTGCTCAACGCTGTCAGAGGCGAGAGTGGAAAAAGTGAAGCTCGCAATTC